TCAGTCAGTCAGTCAGTCAGTCAGTCAGTCAGTCAGTTAGACAGACAGGTCTTTCATCTGTTGATTTCCCATCGGTTATTCTCCTCAGAAATTACACTTTCCTCGCACCCCCATAACTCATTGTTTCGTCCCCAAGCCGAAATATTTTGTACTTACTTATGCTATGTTTCTAGAATAAAATAAACTAACCGGGTTTCAAGTGCTTCTCTCTTTATCTGTCCCAAAATATCGGGAAGAATATGATGGTTTAACTGTGGACAATAGCTATTTGAGGTCCTCCTTTGAAGTGTTAAGTTAGACAAACGGTTGCTATTAGACTGGGACTATTGCGCAATGACGGTTAGCGTAAGAAACATTACATACAGTATATCGAAAGGTAATTTTCAATCAAAAGCGTTGACGAATAATGTAAATTATGCTAACTTGCGAGTTAGGCGATGGGCTTTTTCTGTCATTTAAAAACCGGAATTTTCCTGCCATGGCAGAAACGACAAAAGATCTTTTGAATACTTTGAAATCTTTGATTCAGAGGTTATAAAGATGTGATCATTCGGTTTATATTCAATGTGAATTAATGCATAGTATAATATCAGATGGAACAATTTCATTCGTTGTACGTCGTACACAGCTTGTGCTGTCATCAATCGATCCAGTTCCTCATTTTTCAGTTTCATACAACTCGAAAAAATCTAAATAAATTGACTGATTCAAAAACGTGCGATACAAAACTATCAAAGCGGGGAGGTGGAAAAACTGTGATTGTGAGTTTCGAACTCGCATCTATCAGTTAACGTCCCATTGAATACCGTTGGCTAATCAATTCTTAGTTGGTTACTGCGAATTCAAAACATAGCTTGTATCCAATGTGATAATCTACTTCTTTTTCGATTTTGGATTTTGGAGGGATCGGCAGTGTGACCGGGAGCAGAAACTGAGCCAAGAACAGGGGAAATAATGAAGGAATGAAAAAGTAAATGTTAGTAATTGATATGCTGAACTGTCTCTCGATTATTTTGTGTTGAGGTAGGAGCAAACACATTTTTGAATAAAATATCACACTGTGGTACTTTTATTTTCATTTTCGAAATGCTATTAGGGTTGATTTATCTAGGATTTTTTAATCCGAGGTGATTGAAATGTTTTGTTGAGAATTTCAAAAGTTTTCCCGAGGTATAGCACTGCTTAAACCTGGAGTTTGTAACCTGATATAAATAGGGAAGCATAGCTCAAGCGTTCTTGACAGTTCATGGTATGTCCACTAAAATTTGATTAAACAAGCACAAACGCTGTCTCCTCCCCGGGGGTTCGAAAGCATTCGAATTCCTCGATTCTTTCCCACCAACCTGGAATTCGAACGACAGGGAACAAACACTGGGTGGCAAGACTCCATTCCATGACATGGAGCAGACTGTGTATGGACATTGGGAACCATGCGGAACCACACAATAAGGAGCCTCAATGTAACCAGCGTAATAGAGATGAACATTTCAGTTTTTCACACAACTCTAAAGGACACTAATTTGCAACAGCCAAAATCCATCGTTTCCATTTCGGTTTTCTCAGACGCCTTGCAAACAATGTCAT